TTCCTAGGGTGACATGTGTCCCCCCCACTTCAAGTGGTTAGAGGAGGGAAAACAAATCCTTCTTAGGGTGAATGTGTCCCCCCACTTAAAGTGGTTAGAGGAGGGAAGATAACTCTCTCCCCTAGGGTGACATGTGTCCCCCCACTTCAAGTGGTTAAAGGAGGGAAAATAGTCCTCTTGTTAGAATAGGACAAGTGGCATCCCCTTATAAATAAGTGGGACACCTCACAAGAAATTAATTAAAATGGATTTATTCTTCTAGGGCCTGCTGTTCCACTAAATGGGTTCTATTGCGGGCCCATAAATGCTTATTGCATCATAAATAAGCCCAAATAACTTGGGGCCTGTTGTTCACTAAACTAGACTGCAGGCCCCTTTCTTTATTAAAATGTTTCAGCCCACCAATAAGACTGGTTGGGCTTATAAGACAGCCCTTTTCTCTTCTTTATTATTATTTTTTTTAAGCTGTGACTGGGAGTATCTTAATAACCTGCTCCTACAGCAAATTTAAGGACTTAACAAGCAGGGACCTTGTTTTCATATCAAAAAGGGGAAAAATGGGTCAGAGTCATTCAAGCATAGAAACCTGATGAATGGAACAGAAAGATGTGGCAGATCCCCTGTTTCACCAAGGAAAAACAAAAGCTTCAAGCTTCAATTAATTGATTAGTGAATAGGGTTGGCAATCCCGTGTCCCTTACTAATAAAAGAAATTTTGAAAGTGGAATGATTAAAAATATTTTCAGCTTAAAATTAATATTTAGCATTTGCAAATCATATAATTTTGAAAACAATGTTAACCTGTATAAAAAAAAGATACTCTATGGCATTAACACTTAACAAATAATATGAAATTTAATTACTTTTTTTATCAATAACAGAATCGTACTCATTAATTTAAAGAGAATAAAATACACATCTAGAAAAACTCTCTTAACTCTCCTGAAAAAAGTACAAATTACAAACAAGCACAAAATAGACCATCTCTTTCCACCCCTTGGTTTGCCAAAGAATCAGCATTTCTTTCTGCCCATTGTAGAGTAGCATCCATTCCTTGTAGCAGCCACCTGATTCTTCTCTTCTCATGTATATATCCCTACAATGCCACATCCCCTTCTGCAACCAACTAATCACCAACTTAGAAATCTCCCTCAATTGAAAGCTTGTGAATATTCAATTCCTTTGCTTTTTGAATTCCTTCCATGACAACCAATATTTCAGCTCTTAAGGGACCTGGATTACCTTCATTGCTACCATCAAAATTCAGCTTTATAAAGCCTCTTGTAGGTGGGGATCAGTCTTGTCTACAGATCACCTTGTAAGGAGCAGAATCAGCAACTTCCTTCCACTTCCTCGTCAACTCACCAGCTGGAATGTCCTCAGACAGCTCCAAGGTCTTCACCCAATGAACCACTCGGATAGATATAGCTTCAATTATTGCCTCTCGACTCCTTTTTTCTAAGAATATTTTTTGATTTCTTTCTTCCCAAAGTGTCCATCAAGCAGCCACCCTCCATAAGATTCTACCTCTCTTCTTCAGCCATCTAACAAAAGTAGAGGAGAATAGGCTTTGAACAGTAGGCAAGGAGCTCCATCTACACCCAAACAGAGAGAAACCATTCCCAAATTAAAGAAACAAGAGGGCAGGAGATTAATATGTGATAGCAACACTCACCATTGGCCTTACAAAGAGGGCACCAGATAAGGGGAAAGACACCAGCTAGGTCTTTTTCTTTGCAAGAAATCACAGGTGTTAATTCTTTCCAAATACACTTCCTGTCAAAAATCACCAATCCTAGACAAAATAAGTGTGGTCCAAACCTCTTTAATAGGAAAAGGCACTCCCACACCAACACTCAGTTGTACCAATTGCGAAAAGAAAGAAGCACAAGTAGAAGAACCAAAGGGTGAAAGGGTTCATATTCAACTATCCCTTTTTAAAAGATCCAACACAACTCTTTCAAGATCTTGAAGCAAATTTGAGACACTACAAATTCTCTTCTCCCGGAGACCTCTTCTAAAGCCCAAATCCCAGTCAAAACCAAAAACTAGAATTAGAGGGAGACAGGAAAGAAGAAATGAAATCCTCCCTACAACCAGAAAGGGCATAAACAGAGGGAAACCATTCCTTTAAAGGTGAGTTGCCCAACCAAATATGCTCCCAAAACTTGACCCAACCTCCAAAGCTAGGATTATACCTGATGAATGGTATGAAGAAAGGAAAGATGGCATGAATGGATTTCCAAAGTGAAGCACTCAAGTCTCTAGCCAGAATTCCAAAGTCTCGCTCATTTGCCGCAAGCCCTGAATTCAAATTACTACCTTTGCCCACAACTTATCTTTGTCTAAAGGCAACCTCCACAGCCATTTCCCTAACAAAGCAATGCTCCTTTCCTGAATGCTCCCAAGACCTAATCCTCCAAACTTCTTACTTCTACACACTACTTCCCAATAAACTCTATGGTCCTTCTCCTCCCCTGGTTCCCACAAAAAATCCCTCATCAGCTTCTCAACCCTTCTACTTACCCCCATTGGAATCCGAAACACAAACAAAAAATACATAGGCAAATAAGCTTATGTGGACATTATTAAAGTAATCTTTTCATAATATTTCAATTACAAGGCTCCAAAAGTTGCTCCCTCTCAAATTCTCCCCCAAAGGTAATCCCAGCCTCCCAGGTAAGTCATTGGCCATTAGAAAACCATACATCCCAGAATTTCTGCTCCCTCTAAGATCTCTCTCTCCATATTTAGACCCACACTACAGCTTTATCAAGGTTGATCTTCATATTAGACATTTGTTCAAAAGTTTTCACAATCCATTTTAAATTTAGTTAAATTTGGCAAGACATAAGTCTTGGAAAATAACATTTAGCTTCAAAAACTAGATATAAATACATGATATGCTCATATCCATATTTGTTTCTTGGATTTTAGGAAATGGAGAGTCTTACTCATTTCCCATATATGTGGCCATGTCTGTATCTATATCTGGGTATCATAGCTAATCCTTGAAAATCATCTAGCATCCAACTAGTAAAGTTTTTCTCATAATTATTCTGAACAACAAAATCCCCAAATTAAGTAAAAACAACACTCACTTTGCAATTTTCTCGGGTGTGACATATAACAACTTATATCTAGAGTAATCTGAATTCAGTTCTCTAAGGATCTCTTGCTGTTCGGCCCACTCCATATTAGCACTTAAATAAGCTGCAGGGATGTTTGCCTACACATTAAGTTTAAAAGATAAAGGCATAAGTTGCTAGTGGAGAAATTAATAAGACAACCAAAAGAGTGCAAAACTACCAAATTAACTTGCTAATATAGAGAGGATTACCTGTACTAAATGCATAATCTGATCTTGAATAAGTGAGACAAGAGGCGAAACCACTAATGTTATTCCTGGACATATAAGAGCAGGAAGCTGCAAAATAGGACTCAATCTATGTAAACAGTAGAAAGTGCAATAAATCTGATCTGATTTGAAATCTGTGATAAAAAATAGAAAAAGAAAAGTTTGTACAAAGAAGAGAAGAAGAGTAAGATTGAAGAAAATGTGGAGAAGCAAAAAAAAAAGTAACCCGGCCACCCTTTCACTATCTTATATACTCAATTAAAAATGAATACAATGACAAAGTATACCCTTAGTAAGTCGGCTATTACTAAAAACACAAGTAAACAATCTTAACTAAACATAAACTAATAGGCCTTAGGCCCAATAACTCTAGCTGAACATAGAAATAAAAAACAAATATTATCAACCCAATCTCAACACTCCCCCTTCAAGTTTGGGAATAGATGTCACACAATGACCAAATCCTACAAAACACAATGACCAAGAGAAAAAATCACTAAACAACTCAAATTCCTTGTCAAACTACTAACAGATAGAAGATTAGTGCCTAGTCTAGGGACATAAAGTACAGAAGGTAGTGTAATGGTATTAGTTATCTTGACAGACCCTTTCCCAACAATGGGAACATGTGATCCATCAGTTGTGGAAACTCTGTCTCTACCAGAGTAGAGGTGGTATGAGGAGAAGATAGTGGAAACATTGGTCATATGTTATGAGTCTCTTGAGTCTATAATCGAGGGAGGTCCCCCCTTACCTATAGTGGATGCATAATTTGCAGTGGCATGTGAACTACTTGTATGTGCAAACGAGGTAGAATGACTACCTCTTGAATCCACCTGCACCTTGATGTCCACCTGATGATAAACTGAAATTGGTTGTATCCCTCTGACTCAAAAACTACATGTATCTCTCCAACTCGACCCTAACTACAACTACTACAGCAGACTCTAGAGAAGTTGTAGTAGGTGGTCCCAATAAATCACTAGTCACTGCCATATTAACATTTCCCTTCTTGTTTCTAAGTCAACTCGATATAAGGTGTGGGTAAAGTTTCCAACAAGTATCTCTAGTATGCTTAGGTTTTTTACAGTAGTCATAGATCAAGTCCTTCTTGTCCTCCTTCCTAGATTCATTGCCAACCTTATCCCGACTGGGCTTAGACTTCACTATGCTAACCATAGCTGATTGCTCAATACCTGGGTTTCTCATCATCACATTCCTCCTACTTTCCTCTCCAGACACAAAGGCATATGCCTGAGAGAGAGTTACATTGTTTCGGGAAAGAATATGCCATTGTCCAATGTCATATTCAGGGTTGAGTCCTACTAGAAACTCAAATACCCTATTTTTCTCTACTAGCTTTTGATAAGTTGTTGCATCTTAGCTACTCTCCCAAACCACAGTCTCCAAATGATCTATCTCTTATCATAAGGTTCTAAGGGCCAAAAAAATAAATTGCAACAAACTTATCTCCCTGCCTAATAGCAATAACCTAATTTCTCAACCAATAAGCTCTAGCAACATTCCCACTCTGTGAATAAGTTTCTGCTACTCCATCCCAAATCTCCTTAGTTGTGTTAGCTCATAGAATATTCTTACTTATATGGGGTAACATAGAATTGCACAGCCAGGTCATCACCGTGTAGTTCTCCTGCACCCACCGGGAGTAGTTAGTCCAGGTTTCTTCTCTTCATTGGTGACATATTCCGATTTTCCACGAGCTCTAATGGCTGTCTTTGCCTATCGTAACCATTCTAAGTAGTTTGTACTACCAACTTGACTGTCATGATGGTCCCTACCCCGAAGGGGTCACTAGCACCCCCTCCACCTAGTCCCATCTCACTTGTAGATTTATATTCAACTCCACAACCTTCCATAACTCCAAGACAGATTAGGAAATCAATTGGAGATGAAAAAAAAAATTATCCCCTTTAGAAACCTCAAACACCTTCCAAGTACCTCCAAAAGCTCCTTCCACTAAGATTCCCTTCTCCATGGGACTTGAACCACCTTCTTCAAAAAACACCTAGAAACCTAAAAAAACCGGTGCACCACTTCCAAGGTCAAAAATGAAGAGTCCACTGCAATCAGGATTCTTCCCCTTTCTCCAGTTCTTCCTGATTTTGGTGATAAACCCTAAACCTGCTACAAGGGATTGAAGATCCACCAAAACCTGGCACTCTTGAAGTCCTTGATCAGCTCTTTAACTCATGCAATCGACTGGTCTAGGGCTGCATGATGGAATAGCTTAAAAATCCCTAAAGTTGCTTTGATACCAAGTTGAAAGTGCAATAAATCTGATCTGATTTGAAATCTGTGATAAAAAGAAGAAAAAGAAAAGTTTGTGCAAAGAAGAGAAAAAGAGAGGTTGAAGAGATGGGGAGAAGCCAAAAAAAAGTAGTCTAGCCGCCCCTTTCACCATCTTATATACTCATAATTAAAAATGAATACAATGACAAGTATGCCACCTTAGTAAGTCGGCTATTACTAAAAACACAAGTAAACACTTAACTAAGCATAAACTAATGGGCCTTAGGCCCAATAAATAGTTAAAAATATTTAAAAATTTTAGAATGAAATATTTTAATTATTTAAAAAAAGTTTAAAAATATTAAAAATGTGCAAATCAAACTTATGACTTACATTAATTCAAAATTTGAAATACATTATTGTTGAATTGCATGGATTTATGATTTCTTCTATTATTTTTTACTCGAGGCAAATAATGTAAGGTTTATATTTCTCTTAATCCCTTGTCATCATATTGGATATTGGGTTTTCCCATGCATCACAAGGGGCCCTCGCTAGTAATAGATGAAGGCAGGGCCTTCATTCTAATACTTGAGCAATGTAGGACAAGGAACAACAACACACTAGTGAGTGCATGAGTTGAAGCCCTTGTCTCACATTGCTCTAGTATTAGAATGAAGGCCTTACCTTCATCTATATAAAAGAAAACACTCATGTGTTGAGGCCCATAGTTTTTGTCATAGGCCCAAAGACAAGCCAAACTTGGCCTAGCTTGGGCCCATACAATATCTGTTTTCATATCATATAACATATATGATATATTACATATAACTAAACACTGATCATAAAAAAAAAACATTATATATAAATAAATTTTATTATTTGGTGTAATAGGACCAATTCCCAGCTTGGGCCTGAGCTTATATTTTAGGCCCAGGGTCCACTCTCGGGCTACTACTCTTAGCATAAGTGCTAAGCCCAGCCCAACCAATGATCTCTCCTAGCATTCAAATGTCAAAAAAAAAAAAAACAGAAAATCACAAATTTCCACAGTACTTTTGTCAAAGGTGCTTTGCAATACATACGCCATATGTCAATGCAACTGAAAAGCACCTTAACCATACTTTTCACTACTTCTAACAAAAGGAAAGGTAAAATTACAACAGTACCCTTCTCGTAAAGAACATAAAACAAAACAATTAACGAGATTGCTTTGGATGTACAATATTTGGTACACTAAAGAAAAAAAATTCACTACTTTGTACAAAAGCAATAAATGCCAGCAACAACAATTCAAGCCTTTCTCAACCACCACTCTATTAGTTGGACCAGCAACACCACCTTGTACAAGGATGTTAAATAGTCTTTGGGACTTAGAGTCTAGAATAAGTGAGCCTTACCCTTTAATAAATGGACTCTGAAGCAAGAGTATTTCTTTAGAATGACAACAAAGTATTTAGCCTTGATAATAAAAAAACCAAAAAAAAAGTATTTAGCCTTAATAAAAAAAAACAAAAAAAAAAAGTATTTAGCCCTGTTTAGCATACAGAGGAAAAAAAATATCCTCTATACCTGGTACGTCAGACTCTTTCCACCACCAGTTGGCATCAAAACAAAAACATCACATCCACTCATTGTTGCATTGATCACCTCTCTTTGATTTGGACGAAAGGAATGGTTTCCAAACACTTTCTTGTTATTTTCCTGAAGCATGAAACAAAGTACACCATCAGAAGAAGCTGTCACATGTACTTGAAGATACATGTTAATGAAGATAAGTACCTCCAGTTTCCTGGTCCATGAGAAATCTCTGCTACTCCACCTCTTATCATTCGATCCTTCAATGTAATTAACTTCAATAATCTTAGGAACATATGCTTCCCTTTCAACAGGACCTAAGGAAGCACCAAACCCATCTATAGAAGAGAATGATATCAATGATGATATCCCTTTACCGAAGCCCCCTGGTTCACTGCTTGTATTGATCCTAGCATCAAATCCTGAATGATTCATTGTATATGCACCATGTGGAGGAGTTTCATATTGGAGACCTCTGGTTGTGGAAGCAGAGAAATTAGATTTCTGTCGTTCTTCATCCCTTTCTTTGAAATAAAGATATTTGTCCAGCTGCTGAATTTTTTTATTCAGCTGCAACCTGTCTATGGATGCACAACATGAATAAGAACAGAAAGAGAGAAAGAGAGAGAGAGAGAGAGAGAGAGAGAGAGTATTGTTTTAATTAAAAAGATCCTTTGAAAAAATGCAGTACAAAAAAAATATAACAAAATAAAAACCAAAAGGTGGACCTACCTATCTTGACGAAGGCTCTCTATTTGCACAGGACTGAGAAAATTAAAGTTGTCAAGAAGTTCATTTGATATTTCAATTAGTGTATCCTTCATCTCCTGCAAATGATTTGCAGCTTCTGGGCAAATTCCTACCTGGATCAATTTCAGGAATCAGTTGTGTCAAGTTGAAGAAGAAATGAGAAGTAGCAAATTCAAAACCAAAATTACAGACACATACCTTAAAACCATGATTACATATTGTGCATAATTCTGGTGGAAAGTATGTCTCATCAGGCACTGTATTATTATTATTGCTTAGAAATGTAGTGGATGGAAGCTTAGAAGTTGATGATTGAGGTGTGCAAGTTGCTTGATATTGAAGAACTATTTGGTCCACATCAATATTCTGAAGCATAAGGATTAGAAATGTGATATCTGCATTCAAATCATAATTTCTAAATTTACACATGAGAATATATGACAAAAAGTACCTCGAGTATGTCATCATCACCAATATCATCAGCAAAATGATCCCCAAACTCTTTTTCAGGGTTATCTTGCTTATGCAGAGTATGAATGCCAGAAGATCCACCCCTGATGTTTGCATGAGAACCATTAATTGGTGATGCTTCCTTATCTTCTGACAATCTTACACCTACACCAGTGTCCGAAGCACTATTTCGACTTTCTAGCAGAGAATCCCCAGATTCACCAACCCTCACACCACAGTAATTCAAGTTTTGGTGTGGTTGCAAATTTTGAAATGTTGAGCTCTCAGAAAATTTGCAAGTGATGTCAGATGACCTCCACAGAGTAGTTGCTTTACTGATATTCTTAGAATCTGACCTTTTTAATGGTAAGTGATCTGTGCCAATATTCTGAACTATAGGTACAGTTATCCCAGGTTTTAAATAGTTCCTACAAGCCATGTTAACACTAGAAAGAGCTTCCCAAGCCTGTCAATGGTTTGCGAATTCAATGGATATCAAGAAGTTAGAACCAAGTGTATCATGCATATTTTGCATGCACATAGTACAAGGAAAACAAGTATCATCTATGTGCCTCAACAATGAAGACTGAATTTTTTTACAACTTGCATTGGTTCATATTTTCAAAATCTTATCATACATGAATCTAATTAGAATAATAATCCATGCCTTATGAAGCATATTGATAAACTTAAAGAGCAGAAAAGAAAACAGTCTACAAAGAAATTAACTTTAATGTATAAACCCTTTTTTCTTCTTTGATTGTCTGTTTTCCATCAATACTAGATAACAACTCACATTTAGGAGATGTCTCATTCACATTTAAAATGGTAGACAATGATTGAAGCCTACCTTTTGTATATGTGAACTCTGCAGCCTTTGAATATTTTGAATTTGAAATGCCATTGACCTAAGAGACAACCATGGAGAAGGTATATGAGATAAGCATATTCCACGCCCAAATAAAGTCATCGTGCTAGTCAATTAAACATACAATTTACTGCAATCAAGAAAACTATGTTTATTGCATGAAAAAAGGTCATACATTTTTATAAATAATGGGCATATAATTTAATACAAATGAAAGCAAATAAGTATGAGATTTGTAGAACAGATTTCCATAGAAGAATCAGTCTTCAAGAGAGATGCATTCAAAAAATTCAGGAGAATCTAAGCTATATAAGTTTAAACCACACCCTTTAAGAAGCTCATGAATTTCAAAGGACCTGAACAAAGAACTGTAAAACTATGCAGGTATTGAAGCATGGTTTAAAATGTCAATGTAATTCCTAGCCCGAGCCAAGCCCAAGCGTACTAAATTTAGGCTCAGGCTGGACCTATGTTTTGGTACTTCGAGCTTTACCCCGGGCTCAGTCCTCAGTTGTAAGAGATAGGGTTAGGCCAAGGCTAACATTAAACCCAGCCCAGCCCACCTAACTTACACCTAGGGATGGCAATTTTGCGGAAATTTTCGGGTATCCAACCTGTCCTGACCCTAATAGGACCCGTTTATCAAAACCCTATAGGGTTTGGGATGGGTTTGGGATTTTAGATTAAAACCCTATAGGGTTTGAGACAGATTTGAGTTTTGACTTTAGGGTATCCAATACCTGATACCTGGGATGCATAAATATAAACCTATTATATTATATATCATGCACAAATTTATAAGTTTTAAGTACTAAGATAATTATTCTATTATTAATATTTTATTTGTATAAATTTCTTGGGATTAAAGTAATCATTTGATGTAAATTTGGATTTGATAGATTGTTTATTTCATTTAGTTATAAAATGTTAATTTAAATATTATTCCTTTTAATTTTTAGTTAGAATTGCTAATCATATATATGTACTGATTGTTTTGATGAACACAAAAGTTAATAAAATCTATTTTATTTCATTAAATAACACAAAAGGTGAGATGGCTTAGTGACTTAAAGTAGTGCTAAGAGATTTGGTGCTATCATTAATTGATCCGGGTTCAAGTCACACTATAAGCATTAAGAAACTTTTTTTAGTAGAAAACGTTTGGCCAAGGGGTTTAACGAGTGGGACAGGTTTGGGAAATTGAAAGGAAAAGTTAGACGGGTTTGGAATCAGGGATACATAGGCAGGTTTTGGAATGGGTAGGGCAATTTGCACGGGTACCCTACCCGTTGCCATTCCTACTTGCACCCCTAATAGACAGGAGATCCACCTCGGGTTACTGTTCACTGGTCTGTGAAAATTTAGTCACATGGTGCGGTAAGAAATAGTTTGCAGTTGCTATATCAAGAGTGATAGATGCTGAATTCAGAACTATGGCACATGGTGTTTGTCAACTACTGTGGCTTAGAGCTTTACTTGGAGAGTTGGGATCCACTATTGATGGACCAATGAGCTTAATCTCTAATAATACAGATGACATTAGTATAGCCCACAACCCTGCCCAAGACAATCATACCACACATATTGAGGTAGATCGCCACTTCATTAGAGAAAAACTTCTTGCTGGGTAGATTTGCAGACCATATAGCTACAATTAACTGATGTCCTTACTAAAAGAGTCAACAAGGCCCAATTACATGAGGGGGAGTGTTTAGTTACATTATGCAAGGGTAAAGTTGGCATTTGTATAATCTAATTCTATTCAGACATTTATCTTTGTAAAGGGTATAAGAGTCTTTTTCCCTCATGATTATTCTTATAATAAATTAAGTGGATGGCAAAAACAAACTAGACTGAATCCACAGAGTGTTGTAACACGGTTATTTATGCTGCAAGGGCATTTTGTCTTTTTATCTTTAATTATGTCACTCTCATGCCACCCTAATATAAATAAAGTGGACATCACCAGGCACACAACACTCTAACACTCTCAATTTCTCTCCTCTTCTCCATTCTCACTTTAATCTGCACAAGTTTACAAATAAAATTTTATTATCCAAATAAAGGGATGGTTCAGAAGATAGAAGTGTAAAAACTATTCTAATTAGATGAAAAAGAGGACAGGACATTATAACTAACACATGTCACATGGCATACATACCCAGCACACAGGGCCTCTTCAACATGAGATTTTTGTGTTGGCAAGGAGAAAAGGAAATTTGAGCTCAAAAACTGATTTTGGCATGAGAAATTATGGTGTGCATTAGCATGATGTGACCAATTGACTCGAGGAAGCTTAGCATCTAATTTAAAATCTTTACTTGAATTGTTCCCACTGCATGACCAATGAAACAATGAGAACAAGAAGCCAGAGAGAAATGAAATATTATGCTCAAAGGTAAATGAAAGGTATGCAATTTTAATGCTTACCTTGAAAACTTTCCATTAGTCATCACTTAACATAATTGAAAAATAATTAAACTCCTGGACCAAAACCCAAATCTAACCACAAACCTGCAAAGCAATATCCTATACTTTAATTGGTCATATATGAAACTAGAGTAAATACAAATTAACAGATAAAAAGCACATTAACTAACCATGACAAGTACAGATAGGGATTCAAAGACTCTTTGAGTTATATGTAGCATACATGCATGATGCACCTTGAATTGGGTTGTGGTTGGTGGACCGTTTTAGTTGAAGAGTTGGGTTCTTGGGTTTCTGTGTCCTCTTGTTTTGTTGGATCTTGTTTTGGTTTGGTGGTTTCAGTGGGGTTTGAACCTGTTTCTTTTTTTTCCCTTTCTCGGGTGATTTCTTGTCACTCTCGTAATTTATTTTTTTCTTTTAATAAACATTTATTTTATTACCAAAAAAATGTAGATGGTATTCTTTGAATACATTATTCCATTACAATTTAAAAACTAAGAGTGGTGATAATTGCTGAAATAGGTGCTGAAAACAAAATGTGGAAAAAAATTCCAAACTTACAAACAACTTAAATCCATGAAAATTATTGTACATGACAAAATTTGCAATTAATTTAATCACCTCAATATCCATGCTTCATCATTCAGCATACAAGTAGCAAATAACCAAAATGCTGTATGGAGAATTCTTAAATTTAGAATCTTTTCTAGATAGCATAGGATAAGCCCAAGTATATATAGAATAGTCATCAATCAAAGTAATGAAATACTTACATCCAGTCTCAGAAGAAAGAGTAACAGGGCCCCAAACATCATAATAGACAATATGAAACGAAAACTCAGATCTTTTATTTCTTAAAGGAAAAGAACTTCTACAATGTTTGCTTAATTGACATGTCTAACACTGTAACTCACTAACTGACAAAGACTTAAATAACTTTGAAAAAATAAGTTTTAATGACTCAAAAGAAAGATGGCCAAGACAACTATGTCATAAGTAGGCGTGACTCTCACTAAATAAACTTAAAGACTCTGTAGCATAGTTGTCAAGGCGACGCCTAGGCGACAAGGCGTCCTTGGAGGCTCACCTCGCCCAATCGCCAAGCAAATTTGTATATTGTCTTATAAAATACTTTTATATTGTTGCTTTTTTGAGATTATAACTATAAAATAGACATTATTAAACAAAAATATTCATTTTTTGTGTTTATAAACTAATTTCTTTTTATTATTTTCTTATTTGTCAGGGTTTAATCAACACAAACGTCACTAACAGCTGCATTGAACCCTCAAAGACTTCAAAATCTAAACCAATAAGCAAGGGAAAAACGTAAAATTTTGTTTAATCAACACATTTCTTCCTCCACCTTTTCTTTTCTTCTTTTCCTATAACAAAAATAGGGTTCAGTCCCCATTTTTTTTTCTTCTTTTTCTTCTCATAAATATGTTGATTTTCTAAACTTAAACATGAAGTTTATAATTTTCTTATGAAAATTATGGATAGTTATTAAAGAAAGATGGTTATGGAACCTAGGGGACTACCCTAGGATATGTATTTTTTTACTTCAAAAATCCAACGCCTAGGCGACTAGGCGACAAGCGCCCCCCTATCGCCTAGCCTCGCCTTGGCGCCTTGGAAACTATGCTCTGTAGCCACAAGACCAGCTTTATTCTCCAACACATAGAAACCATCCACCATGCTTCCTCTACCAATCGTCTTCCCTAAGGCCAAATCTTGAAAAACACACGAAGAAGGAAAGAAGGTAACTAGACAATTCAAGGAGTGAGTAATACTACTAATGGAAAGTAAATTGATAGGTAATTAAGGAACATGCAAAACATTAGAGAGTGTAAGACCGAGTGGAAGAGATATGGATCCTTGGCCGGCTATGGTGGAGAATGTATCCATCAGCCAGTCTCACCTTATCTCTCCCAGAGAGGAGGTTGTACGCCTAAAATGAAGTTGACTTACCAGTCATATGGTTTGAGGCTCCAAAGTCAATTATCCAGTGGGAATCAGAAGTATGAGATGACACATGGAAAGCAATGGTAGTGTTACCTGATGTAGACGCAAAGGAGGTAGGAGTAGGGCCAGAATCCATCTAGCGAAGTGTCCTAACATATAATTCCAAATGATCACGAAAAGAGATGATAATCTCTTCCTTGGGGTTAGAACTAGGGGCCCGCTCCTAAGGTACCATGGGACTAGTCTCTTGAGATATTTGTTGAGTTATATTTCTTCTAATTCTGTTGGATTGGCTTCTTACTCTGATCAGATGCTGATTTCTCACTCAATTCCTAAGCCCATTTAGGCTTCCCATGGAGGTCCCAACATGTGTCTCTAGTGTGTCTGGTCTTCTGACAGTGAGTGCACCAAAGTTTGTCTTTGTCATCCACTATCTTTTGTGAATCACCCTTCTTAAAAGAGCCTCCGACATTTGAGTTGTACCTCCTCGGACAACTAGAGCAATCGGCTCCCCCTCTACACAATTCATCACACTTCTTCTACTCTCTTTAGATTGAATTAAGGCATAAACTTCCTAAGCTGAGGGTAAGTCTTTACTTCCCAAGATCTGTACCCTAATAGACTCATATGTAGGATTCAACCCCGAAAGAAAAGCAAACACTCGTTACTGGGAAACAAGTGACATGTAGGCCCTTGCATCTTCATCACACTTCCAATTCACATTTTAGTAATAATCCAATTCCTTCCATATGGATGTCAGATCTGAATGGTACACTAAGAGACTTCTCTCCCCCTACTTGCAAGTGGAGGTATCAGCTTGCAATTGATATATCTTGGCAAAGTGCCTCTACTCGGAGTAGGTAGATTTCACTTGTTCCCATATTTCACAAGTTGTTTCAGCCTGCATGAATATTTTCCTTACTTGTGGCAGCATGGAAACCAAGAGACATGACATCACCATACTATTTTCTTGGTTCCACCTATCATATTCAGCACTTCCAGTCTTAGGTTCCTTCACTTTACCATTAATATATCCTATTTTCCCCCTAGCAGTAATGCAGAATTTAATTCCCCTAGACCATTCAAGGTAGTTCAGTCCATCAAAGGGGAATTACAGCCATAGAAAAACTCATATCCAACCCCCCCCCCTCACTCATTCCGTTTTGACCTCCTGAAACCCCAGAAGTTGTAGAATTCTCAAAGGACATGGTTAAGGACACTATTTAGTTTCAACACACAACTTAGGATCCCTCCTAACACCAAAAAACAAATCCTAGAAGCACCCCAAATAAGCAGTCCACATGCACAGTTCAGTTTGGACACAAACTAAACACAGACCAGCACCGATTCTCCAAAAAAATTAGGTTTAGATTGATTTCAGACCTGTACGGAATTAACAGTCCAGCCTACCAAGCTTCCAAGAGTGTCTAAGTGCATTAACCACCGGAAAGATCCTTAGAATATTGTAGTCACACCAAAAACTGGAAATAACAGGTCATCCGTGACCTACAGGCATCCCTTTCACAGGTACAGATTCACACGATCCAAGAAAAGAGGTCTAAACCTCACAATTTTTTCTGACAGCATTCAGCAGACCAGCTTCATCAAGTTTTTAGGAGAAGACTTGTATCAGTCGTAGGTCAGTTTTTTTGTTCTCAGTCTAAAGAAGACAGCAAGATGAAGGGGAAGACCTTGTTCGATCTGCTCTCAAATCCAGTAGAATTGCTTTGATACCATCTTAACAGCAATAAACAAAAGAAGAGGGGAAGGGAGAGAAAAGGGAGAAGGTAGAAGAGAAGAAAGAAGATTGGTGAACTCAAACTTCAATCTAGCAGTGCCATATTACATTAATATTTATAGGGCGACCATAATTAAAAGGGAAAAGACCCTTGTGCCCCTGCTAAGATTAAAGTACAAGAATAATAATAAAAGAACTACTTTAAACAGACCCTAACTAAGCAGAATAAGAATATAAATATAAAATAAACTATTTCAACAAAGACAAACAATCAAACAGTAATTTTGAACTCGAACTTGGATGAAGAATGGGACCCCAAATCACTCGAACTCAAAACAGGAAGGATATTGCTATGAAGATAGAGTCTTCCCAGCCAGCTGCAGTTTGAATCGATCAAGTTGATGCTTCCCAACTAGATGGAATCAATGCTTCTTGAAGTTGTTTGAATGGATGGAGTCAATGCTTCCAGCCAGCCACAATTTGAATGGACGGAGTCAAACTTAAACTTGGAGATGCTTCCAACCGGCCGCAATTTGAATGGATGGAATCAGACAAATGAAACATGAATGTTCTATAGATTCAGTGGATTCTGTTTTTAACAAAAGGGTGATTTTGTCCTAAAAACTTCATATTTCCCCCCACTCACTCAATTTTCTATTATTTTTAAAGCATAACTTTAGTTGTCAAATGACCAAACTTGGTCAATTTTTTTGCTAAAAGTCCTTTTATTAATCCAGAAAATAAGAGTTACAGGCGACCCAAGGAAAGGCACGAGATGTGACCTTTCCTTTAAGATTGATTACAGCATTACAAGATCAGACGAACATGATAAAAAGGTAGCCCAAAATAAAGTCCCGAGAAACCCCCTGTTTAGCAAGTGAATCAGCCATAGAGTTTGTTGATCTGCCTACCCAATGGACTCTGACTGTTATATTTCTTGTTAGCCATTTGACTTTTTTAAAGAGGTCTCTATAGCCCCAAATCACAGAGTCCGGATTCAGCAGCCATCCTACCACCACTTGAGATAAGCAAGTGTTCTATCCCTAACTGGTTTGCAAGCTAGATACCTTGTACCGCAGCAAGTAATTCAGCCCTTATAGAGTTTGTCTTTATTTCTCATAACTCCTCCAGTACCCAAGGGTCCAGGGTTACTTCTACTACTCCCATCAAAATTCAGCTTAACAAACTCCTCCCCAACTGGCTCCCATTGTACTAAAAGTCTGTTATTCCTAGTAGAAGTATTGGCTACTGCTAACCAATTCCTCCACAGGTCATCGAGGGAATAACTATCAAACAGGTTTAATGTTTTCAACCACTGAATTGCCCTTGTCAAAACACAGTCCTTAACTTTTGACACGCTCCTTTTCAGAAAAAATCTGGTGTTTCTTTCTTCCCAGACAGTCCACAAGATTACTGCTCTAATACCCTTCCACATAATTCTCCCTCTCTTTGTATGCCACTCAAAAGTAGACGGACTAAACAACAAACTAATATCAGATGGTAGGTTCAACCTACTCTCAAACAGCCCAAAAATCCAATCCCATAGAGCTGCAACAAAGGAACAAGAGATCAATAAGTGGTAACAGTCCTCACTTTGAGCTTTACAAAGGACACACCAATTCGGAGATAGGCACCAATTTGGTCTCTATACACTATAGTTGATTGTAAGTCCAACATTTTTTTGAGGGAGTTATGACCATTTTAGTGGTGGAATTTTGGGTCTACTTCCTAGTTGAAATTGGGGTATAAAAAGAGAAATAGAAGCCATTATGTCAAATCTACAAATAGAGTCATTGTAATTAGAATTTTATACATGAATTAATGAAATAAAAGTTTTCTTAAGAGACTGATCTTTCTCTCACTCTTCCCCCTTTTCTCTCTTTTTTATCTCCAAATGCACTATACTTCTTCTCTTTCTCTCCTCTGTTTAGATGTGAATCTTTTCCTCCTATAATTTTTTTCTTTTTGATCAGTAATATTTTCCTCCTATAATCTAGATCCTTAATTTCCATTTTGTACCACTACATGAAGATTGTAAGACTTCTCTCCTTCCCATCTTACATCAGCATCTCTACTACACATTTTTCAGAAATATTGTTCCTTAATTGCCCAATACCCTACTCAATACAGCAATGCTATCCTTGTAGCCATTTTATAAATTCTTTTTGATGGATAACAGTGAAAATATTACAACTTCTGGTTGTACCCTTTTTGAGTGGTATTCTATGATCATGCAACACTCCAAATGCATCCCTCTATTTCACCCATCCCACTATAGTTCTATTGGTAATATCCATCTAAATCTCTCCCTCTTATAAACTATTGAACCAAGGTAAGAAAGGAGGTCCCATCTCATAGCTTCAATCCTTACCGTAGCCTGTTCTAAGTCGTGTTATAATTAAGTTTACATTGCATATATTCCTTTTTTATAAATATTGCATATATTCCTTTTTTATAAATATTGCATATATTCCTTTTTTATAAATATTGCATATATTCCTTTTTAGTCCTACCCATCCTAAAACCCCTTAAATGCATCTCTTTGTAACTACAATTATGCATTTGATTCCACTCTGGTTTCATCAATCAATACTATGTCATCAGAAAACAGCATACTCCATAAGATCTCCTAAAAGTGCTTACCAACTTATGCATAATTAATGCAAACAAGGGCTAAGCACCTAGCCTTATGAACATGGATCCTGAATCTGATAACTATTTCTTAGTTTCCTATTCCTTGCTACTTTCCAATTATTGTTTTTAAACTGTTGAAATATCCTTTTTGTCCACTAGAAAAGTGTTTACTTATTTAAATGCAATTTCTTATCTGCCATGGCTTCCCATCTTACTTATTTGTGCATTTTTTCTTCCTTTTTTAATTGCAGAAGAGTAGACTTTAATACCTAAATGATGGCAAGACTATAAATACAATACCTCATAACTCAATGCAGAAACAACCATTCTGAGTCTACCGCATAGCATAGCCTCCAAAGCAAATACGAATAGCTACGTTGTTAACTGGGAGCATTGTGAACCCTAAAACTGGTTCAGAGAGAAGAAAAATAACATTCAACCCGCTACATTACATTCTACGAGGAGCCCAGGAATTTGTTTTTATGGGGTTATGAGCAGAACCATAGATTAACACGTGAAGGTACAAGCAATGAGAAATCCCACAATTAGATAGGAAGAAAACAATAGGTGCATATGCAGAAATGAACGTAGAAATAATTATAAATTTCATGTAAGGAACAAAGAATATAAATAAAGGGGTTAAATAGACAAAAGATGGACTAAAACTAACCTTGATAGTAAGTTTTCTCGTTGAATGAATAAACCAGTCGAACAAAGGAGGGAACATCTCTTGGAGGGATGGCGGGTGGGGTGGAGGTCTTTAAATTAGCGCGGGACATGGTGGCGCGAGGTTTTTCCTACTTTTCTCGATTTTGTGAGAATCATGCGACATAAGTGAGGTCAGAATTAACGAAACAGAAGAAACGCCTTGTGCATCGGTTAGGGCTAGAGATGCAATGGGTCGGGTCTGAACCGATGGACCAAGCCGATTGTTTTGATTATGGTTACAAAATTTAGATCGATGGTCACATTTCTGTAGTTACTACAAATATTAGGAAGTTGATGATTTGTAACCATAATCATAATCTATACGAGGCTTGAAACACTTAACAGAGATTGGACCTCACCATACTAGTAATCCAAATAATAAAAAATGGGATCAAGAAAAAAAGTAATTCTCTTAAACTATTAGTAAAAGTAACAATATGATTAAAAATAAAATTAAATGTTTATAGTAAATAAGTATTTGTTATAGCAAATTAAATTCTTATTTTCCAATCATCCAGCATTAAAGGGCAATTTTAATATAAGATTTTTGTTATTGGATTAAGAGTCTCATGTTGGCAATAACCACATAAGCTTCTGATGACATTGCAAGGGTTTTTATAATTTGAAATATAGAGCTGGTTGTCAAACTTGTTGCCTAATTTTAAATGTATGACCGATTCTGACTATAATTTTTCCTAATTTAAAACTAATTCAAAAGCAAAGCTATTTTCTTATCTAGATGGTGGGTCAATGATCCAACTTTTCTAAGAAACCCATGATATTATAATGAATAATAAATATTTAAAAAAGATAAAACACAAAATGAAAATGTACAAAATTTTTGTCAAAAACATTTGAGAACATTTCTAAGGTTATGTATTCATCATATTAAATAAAAATAAGGGTAAATTTCTTAAACTACCCTTATGGTTTAGTTAACTGACTAACTCTACCTTTATTGTTTGAAAATTGGCTAAGTGTACCCTTACTGTTTTTGATAATTGACTAAGTGTATCCTTAATCGTTAAACATGGATGAAAAAGGTAAAATGCCCGTTATACCCCTATGCAAAATTACATTTTTGTCCCTCTTTTTAATACAATCCCTCTAGGACACTCACCCCATTTGTCGAAAGAGAAGAGAGGAGCGCCATCCATCGATGGCTCGACGCTACTATCGCCGTTACCATCGCCACCGACGGCGGTCGTTGCAAATACCGAACGATAGAAGTCCGACGAAGGTCGGTGAGTTTTTTTCTCCTCTGCTCGCCCAACTTCGTTCTGCAACAGTGGGAGTTGTAGATCTGGGAGGGGCGAAGGAAGAGGAAAATAGGGAGAACGAAGAGGAGAGAGAGAGAGAGGCATTGCTGGAGAGGTCCGCCGCTGCTACAACAGGGACGAGAGGGAGAGAGAGAGAATGAATAGGATGGGGAGAGAGAGAGTTGCAGAGAAGTTCGGACTTTGAATGTGAACGAACTTTGAACGACTGAACGAAGACTCGGAGAGAGAGATTAGATACAGAGGTTTGATTCCAAGAAGAATCTTCGAGTTGTAGAATCTAAACAATTTGTTGCTACTGTCGAACAATACAGAGGTCCTATTCCGCCAGAATCAGGAAGCTGTGCAATTTGAGTTTATTGGATCTCAGTTTGACTAGTTTGCGGGGTCATACTGTTGGAGATATCTGGTTGCCAGAACCTAAGTCAAGGAGTTGATAGAAGGAGAGTAATCTTGGATGCTAACGTCGCTTAGCAAATTCATCCTTGGAAAGAACCAATTTTCAGGTTCAATCCCGTCACAACTCAGCTCGTGTACGAAACTATAGCTCCTTGACTTGGGTAGAAACCAATTCATAGGAGAGATTTCACCGAGCCTGGGCAAAATTCCGGCGCTAGAGATAACTTTAAACTGTAGCTGGAATGAGCTTTTTGGCAAGATCCCAGAGAAGCTCTCCGGATTAGATAAGCTCGGAATCCACTGTGCTTTCGTTCCAGTGGAGGGTCATTCAAAGAACATTTCCGAAGCAGAGCTGAAAGAATCAGCATGTAGCTATTGGATGCTCACCCAGTTAGACAGTTGTATGCCCTTAGCTTCAATCAGAATTATGTACATATGAATTTATTGTAAATGAATAAAGTACACATTTTATTTATGTTCCTGTGGTGTGTTTCTGTGTAATACCCTTAAACTGGACACTTAATGAGACTTGTGTTAGTTTAGAATGTTCACAGCCATTGGGTAAGTCTGGGGAGATTTATCCTGCCAAGGCTGACACTGGTGTGCGGCCAACTGTTGGGGTGGCTTGTCTCAGCTACCAGGGTGAGACCCGAAGCACATGCAGTGTAGGATTAATAGAACCTCTGAACTGGACCAGATTTCCAGTAGTGCCCTGGACCTTGGAGATAGATGAGCAAAACTAGAAAGTTACACCTGACCCCTAGACTCGATTATGATACTGCACTAGGTGTTGGATTGGATTGCCTTTGATGTACCAATCAGTGAGATCCTTAGCGAGGGCCAAAACCTGGGTATGTTGGGACAGTCCGAGAATTCATCTGA